TGAAATAAAACTGGATTCAAGTATCAACGCAAAATTTTTATTTCTGACGTCTCATCGAATGCCAAGAATCGTGTCTTCATAGCTTCATATAAGTAACATTTCTAAAAGCTAGAAGTAGAACTCTGCAGAGAATCTTTGAAGTGACACGTTTTTGTTGTGCAAGCTTTGTAACATCTCTCCATCAGTTCGACAATTATTAATATTTTATTTTATTACGTGGACGCTCACATTTGTGTCACTGCATTTAATTTTTCAAATGACATATTTTCAGATTAAATTATGAACTGATGAAAAAAAACCACTGACAGCATGTTTAATAATAAAAATAAAATCATCGACGTCTGCGCGAACTCACCGGTGCCTGTCTGTCAGTGGAAGGCAGAGCCGAGGGTCCGGATGACCAGTCTAGAGAGTCCCGGCCAGCGGGTCCAAACTTCCTCCAGCTGCTCTCCAGCAGAGACCGCATGGTGGAAAGTTTCAGGATCCGAAGCCGACGGGTCTGTTGACGGCTCAGAGGGTTAGCACCGACTGCACCGCTGAAGTGATCAGCCTTAAATATATCTGGGAGGGGGAGGAGGGAGGGAGGGACGGCAGAGAAATGAGGGCAGCAGACAGTCCAGCAGAGAACAGACACATCACTGGTCCCAGTGGGTCACAGCAGAGGGTGTTTCCAGGATTTTTCTTTTTTTAAAACTATGGTGTGTGGGTGTGTTTTTATTGGGGGCAGAGAGATCGCGTGCTTCCAACAATATGCATTAGGAGACGTTACTACAAATCTGTGTTGAAGGATAAGATGTATAAACTAATAGGAAAAAACTGCATTTACGGTTCCAAACACAATTAAGTAAATAAGCAAAGTAGATGAGTTCGAGAACAGTAGACAGTAAGCACTCTATTTTTTTGCATCTATAATTAACTCACAAGCATTCATTGCATATTATTTGAATATTTAACGCTCGCTGACACACTGACAAAGAAATTTCAGGCAGTGAGAGCAACGAGGAGCCATCAGAAGCTAAAATCAATCACTTACACTTTGAATGATTTTTACATGTAGTAAGATTGTCGCTGTTTAACAGTAATGACTGTGTCGATTGTTTGAAAGGTCCAGATAAGCGATGACAAAGAAAATCTGACATAATGTGTCTCACTGGGTGTGTAGTGGATACATTCAAATGATCTGTTAAGGAAGAAACGCTTTTAAGAGTTTTATGCTGCATTAAAGTATATGTTCATATTTTACTCTTATAGGAAAGACCGAAATGTACTACTCGCTCCTTTGCACAGTTACAACACCCACAGCTTTGTCTGCAGAAACAGGAAGTTCACCCTGTGACATTTGCCGCAAGAGATTAGCACACACATGAACATGAAAAACAGGAACTGCTATCTATGCTTTAAATAAAGGAAACGCCTGCAACTGGGTGTGAGTCTCTCTCTGAGTCTTCACCTGTGCAGCACATTAACAGCCCTCAAGTGTCTCAGTGTTGTTTATTCACCTGACTGTTTGTTAACTGTAAATCTCTGACATGATCGGTGTAAAGAGTGAGACAATCAGGAAGCTTTAACTCCAGTGGATGACATCTCTCTGTCACTCAGAGTGCTCCGGGGAATCACTTTTTCTGTGAATATCAAGAAGACCAAACGTGAAAAATCTTTGTGATCTGATAAAACTTTTCTCAACATTTCTGGGATATAAAGTAAGTCTGAGAAAGGTTTTACACACTTTGAGACAATTTACAAGTCATTTAAAAGTGTGGAAGAGGAAAGTATATCACGGGTTTACAGGTTTGGTAAAAACTGTACAATAAATCGCTGCCAATAGTCCATCCATCCTCTTTGCTCATCCCTGTCAGGGTCGTGGGGGGGCTGGAGCCTATCCCCGCTAGCACAGGACAAGAGACAGGGTACACTCTGGACAGGTCGCCAGTCTGTCACAGGGCTTCTGCCAATAGTCATAGCACGCCATTCTCAACCAAGTTACACATTTCGATACAACTTTTGTTCAGGTTTTCTTAAAACTGCAGGATTATTTTGGAACTGAAACTCTTAGGAAAGAAGAAAAAGAGGAGAAGCAAGATGAATAGTTAATGTTTTAAATTGAGACATTAAACAATTTATTGTGGTATAAAATGCTGTTATTTATGCTGTCCAATGCAGTTTGCATATAGGCCCAACAGAGGAGTGGAGGACGCACTTTTGACTTTACTAAATCTAATTCTTAAACATGTAGAGAGTAAAGGACTTTTGCAAGACTTCTTTTCATTGATTTTTCTTCGGCTTTTAATACAATACAGCCCCATATTTTAATTAAAAGACTTTTAGAACAGTTTGAAATCAGGAAAAACCTGGTGGGCTGGATTTTAGATTTTTTAACTGACAGATCACAAAGAGTGAGAATAAATGGGGTTCTGTCTGACCCAGTGATCTCCTCCACAGGTTCTCCTCAAGGGTGTGTCCTATCGCCCTTATTATTCACTCTCTATACAAATATGTGTCAGGGCAGACATGAAAACAGGGTCATTATTAAATATGCAGATGACTCTGTTATTGTCAGCTTACTGAAAGAGGGTGAAATTAACCACGGTCCAGTCATTGATGACTTTGTTCAGTGGTGTGAGGAGTCTTATCTCCAGCTGAACATATCTAAGACAAAAGATATGGTGATTGATTTTAGGAAACAACAAAATGGGCACGGAGTTCACTTTAATTAAAGGTCAGAAAATAGAGCAAGTACAATCATATAAATATCTTGGGACCATAATAAATGAAAAACTGAACTTTGATCAAAATTGCAAATCAGTTTGTAAAAAGGGTCACCAGCACCTTTATTGTCTTAGGAAACTTGTTCATTCCACATTGACCAAAAAATTTTAACTTTGTTTTATCGTTCTTTTATTGAGTCTGTTTTATCCTTTTGTTTGGTGGCATGGTTTGGTCAGACCTCTGTCACAGAGAAAAACTCTCTAAATCAGATAGTGAGATGGTCCAGTCGTCTGATAGGTGAGCCACAGTCTTGTTTAGCCTCCCTGTACTCTAAGCAGGTACAGAGGATGGCTTTATCAATCCTTAAAAATGGTTCCCATCCTCTAAGGGGTGAATTTCAGCTTCTTCCCTCAGGACGGAGGTTTCTATTTCCGAGATGTAGGACAAAGCGTTATAAAAATAGCTTTGTCCCCGTTGCTGTCACTGAATTAAATAAGAACTGTTTTTGATTCGAAATATCAAAACTACTATATATGTGCCACAGTGAGTTTTATATATTTACTAGGTATGTGTGTTTTTAAAGGGATGCCAAATGCTGTCATTTTTCTGTAAAGCAAATTTACCTTGCCTTTGGGTATAAATAAAGTTACCTTGACCTTGACGATTAATGGTAGACTAACATTTTTTTTTGGGGGGGGGGGGCAACTTCTTCACACAACACAGTTGTGTATGTGGCTGTGTTGTATTCAAAGTAAATGGGTCTAAAAGGGGACCAATACAGTCTCTACCTTACAAAATAAAGCACCTTGAGGCAAGTGTAGAGATTTGGCGCTATATAAACTGAATGAAAGTAACTTTTGGATGGATTTATGTGACTCTGTAACTTTGGAAACTGTCTTTTAATGATGGGGTATCATCTGTTTTCTTCTAAATACCAGGCAGAAAATACGCTTTCACATGCAAAATGAATGAATGAATATTTCATTTTCAGTAAAACAAAGGTTTAGGAGAATTGAAGTCACAACCACAACAACTACAGCAAGAAGGCAAACCACCTGGTTATGGTATGACCGTCTCAGGCAAAAGACACATGCTTTCATATGGTCAGCCAGTATTAGTTCCAATTAATATTACTCTTAGAAAGGTAAAAGAGGCACATTTATAATCCTCACAAATACACTATATTGGCAAAAGTCTTGACTTGCCCATTCACATCATTGAATTCAGTTGTTCCAATCCCTTCGGTGAGCAGAGGTGTATAAAACACCTCTGCAGGCAGACTGCTGAGTGAATTTCAGCATGGTGCCGTAATAGGATGCCACCTGTGCAACAAGTCGAGTCGTGACATTTCCTCATTCCTAAATATTCCACAGTCAGTTGTCAGTGGTGTTATAACAAAGTGGAAGTGATTGGTCCTGCTGCCAGCAGATTCCAGAGCAGTGGAGACATGTTCTCCGGAATCACAAATCTGTTTGCCAATCTGAGTCGGGGTTTGGGTTTGCCAGAAAAAAAAGTTTTGTTTTTTTTTAATACTTCAGCTTATCAAGACATCTTGGACATTTTCATGCTCCCAACTTTGTGGGAACAGTTTGGGGATGGCTCCTTGTTGTTCCAACATGACTGCGCACCAGTGCACAAAAGCAGGTCCATAAAGACATGGATAAGCGAGCGTGGTGTGGATGAACTTGACTGGCCTGCGCAGAGTCCTGACCTCAACCTGATACAAGCAAGGCCTTCTCGTCCAACATCAGTGTCTGAACGCACAAATGCACTTCTGGAAGAATGGTGAAAAATTCCCATAAACATTCCCAAACCTTCCATTAAACTCTATGGGTTAAGAATGGGATGTCAGTCAAGTTCATATGTGTTTGAAGGCAGACGAGTGGATGCTTCTGGCATATACCTTAAACATACAGCGTATATATAAACAGGTTTCACTATTTTGTGAGCCTTGTTCTATAATTTATCTCCAACCGTTTTGATCTTTTGGCAAGGACAGCTCTAATACCACTTTCATGTATTCAGCAAATCGCAGTGTGTCAGCTCGGCTTAGCGCACAGACTCCAACAATGTGCAAATGGAACCAAAGCCAAACCGTCAGCAATAACAAAATCAAAAAATCCCCCTAAGCTCCGTAACTAAAACATTACAGCTGGTTTTGTTTATTCTGCACGAAAATCCTTTTTACTGTTAAAATCATCACTTTCAGATTGGATTGAAGACATCCAAACTTTGGAGTGCATTTGATCATCATCAGATATAAAACACAATGCCAAACATTTGGGGCAAACTGCTTTTAATTTGCAACACGGAGCAGACAAGCCTGCAGAGAAAGCACTTTACAACTTACAGCACTTACACAGCTGCGCTCGGGACAGAAGAGAGAAGCCAGAGCAGGTTAGAAACACCAGGAGAAAATCTTACAGCTGCTGTTCTTTAATATCAAAAGCAGAAAAAAATGCACTTTTAGAAATCACAGTCACGACATTAGCAGAGCCGGCGCTCACAGGTCGGGCAGCAGAGCATCTGAGGTCAGTGAAGGAAGCAAACGGACAAAACAACCTGAGTGAATGAGCAGAGAGCCTGAAGTCGCATCGTAAAGACTCTGCACCTTCACCTGCAGGGACACCCAAGGTTGTGTTTTATATTTGTACCATCAGTCAAACAAAGCCTTTTACCATTTTCTGTGGTGGTGATTGTTTACTTTGTAAGCATTTATAGACAGTAGCCATAACTGATCTTCAATGAGAGAAAGAAAATATATGTAGACCACCTGGTCTCTGGAACACATGATATGAAATCAAACACCAACCATTTGGTTAATGTCAGATTCAAATGATAAGATCAACACAAGTTTACACAGTAGATCCACTTTTTCTGACAGCTTCAAGTTTGTTGATGCCAACATCTGGTTCAGTTTAACCTCTTTTCCATCAGTGTAGAAGAAACTGCAAACATTTTCACAGGAAATATCACAGTGGCAAGACTGCACACTTCAACGGCCAATGACTGGTTAAATGAAGCACCAGAAACCATATTAGTGGCTTCGTCTTTGTGAGCAGTAATTATGTTTTTCTTCCTTCTGATCATCTCCTGATTACTCCTCAAACAGCATAAATAGCACACCGTGTCAGATTTGTCAGTTGAATGTGTTATCTGCACCCACATCTGCTGCATATCTGCAAGCTGCTTTGGAACCCACTCTACCCCAGCTCCTCCTGATTGATCAAGTCTGATGTTACAGACACTCTGGCTTTCTGTCTATGCACACAGAAGAGTGAGGAGGTCCCAGGACAGAGCAATGAAACCAAATAAAAACAAACGCAGAGGAAAATAACAAATCTCATTTCTGCTCTAATGGCCGGGACTTAAAGACAAATTTATGCTGTCTTCTTTACTTTACCATCATCTCGGCCCCAAAAACCTGATAAAGCCTGACTTTGCATTTTTTTTAAAAAAAATGCAACACATAACCCAAATCTTTTCCCACGATTGTCCATCAAAAATTAAAAACTAATCAAATTCAAACATTTACCGACACAATATTTCTGCAAAGCACACGTCTAAGAACTTTTATTTGATTATTCTTTTATATTTTTCTGTTTCTGTATGTTCTCATGACTTCCTCTGTCATATGACCTTTCACTGTGGAAACTGTGTCAGATGTCTGGGTTGCGTAGAAACTTTGTCCATCCGTGTCAGACAAAATGACAGAATAATCAAAGCTGCTTTTACTCCTACGCTCTCAGTCAATCACCCAGATGCCCTGAAAGCTCAAGCCTTAGATATGTGTACATTTCTGAGACCAACAAGGGAGTCGGTCTTTAAACTGTCAGCCAAATCACTCAGACGTATACTGAGTTCTCCAAACAATGTTTTCTCTTTTTTTTTTGTCTCAATCTGATCTCTGGAAAGTGAATGCAGTAAGGCACTGCCTCTTCCATCAGTAATCCCTCAATAAAGTCACCAATGTGTTGATTTTACTGTAAATCAATAGTAGAAACGATATTACAAATTCCCAGGAATTGGAGAGAAGAAGGAGCTTGTCGGTATCTTGAATCAGAAAGCAATAAGAGCTTAGAATCAAACAAAGACTCGTGGAACACGTAGACAGATTTGCAGCTTCTTGTCAGCAGCGAGTTTACCCAAGAGCATCAAATCTGCTTAGAGTGCAGATAAAGTTTGTTGTGGCGATGAGCTGCACTGAGCAGCAGCCACAGCGACTGTGGTTCAAGCCCTCTTAATCTCAGCTCAACATTTCAAATGTACGTTGGCTGTAAAAGTAAAAAACGCAGACAAAAGATTAATCTCTGGACTCGGCGTTACAAATAATGTCGTGGGCAAAGTGAAAGCAGAGAACCAATCAGAGCAAACACCTAGAGGAGCACGGGCGCCATCAGCACAAACTGCTGGTGCGGTGTCGTTGCATGACGCTGACACATCAGCTGATGGAAACACTGTCACAGCTTTAACACCCACTAAATCCTTTCCCTTCACTATTGCTGATCACACTGATGGCCCACAACATCTGTCCAGTTGCTGCTCGCCCTCGAACAACAGGGACAAATGGGGACGGGTCAGGGACACCGGGAGGGGCTGAGGGACAGCAAAGTCAGCTGAGACACAACAGAGTGGCGAGACATGCTAATGCTGCAACGTAGCAGCCCCACAAGAAGGAGGCCGGAATTAGAGCACGACCTTCCAACCGATGCTGTCGATATTCTGCATCATGATGCAGGGCTCGGGTTAAAGACAAAGAATAAAACTGAATTTTGTTTAATGTTTTCTTGTTTCTCATGGATGAGCTGAGGTCCAGAAATACACAATCACATCAACAATACGTGTAAAAAAATTTGACTTAGCCACCTCATTTAAAACGTGCAAACTCACATTCTGAAGCCTCAAACCAAGCATCGTAGCAGTCTCTGTGCAGGTGGAGCCAGAAGCGCAGAAGTGCATACACTAGTGTGCTTGATTAACAAGGTGCACCTGTAGTGGACTCTGCACCTCACAGGCAAGGAGGATGGGAGATTTTTAACTGGAGGAGACTCTTGGCAGGACTTTTAAGATTAAAAGCTGTACAGCTAAATCCTTTTTTTTTTCCACTGGAAATTCTTTGAAAGACACCAACAGCACAGGCGAGAGGTCTGGCTCAGTGACTCCCAATTACTGGAAGTGAAACCAGCATCAAAGCGGTCGAGTCCTTAATTATCCCCAAATAACGTTTAAGTCTTCGCCCCATGCAGAGCAGCTCTCGGGGAGGGAACCAAACAAGAGACCAAGACAGTCTTTTGTGGCAGGCTTTAAACATCTGCTGTAAGTGGGCCATTTAATCACAGTCTGCAAGGACTCAGAAGAAGAAGAACTGCAGCATTGGCTTCATTTTTCATCTGCGGAGGTTTTGTGTGTGTGTGATAGGGTGGCAAAAATCAACCATGAAGCACCCAGGGGGTTGTCTTGATGCACGCTCAATCATCCAGGTGAGTAAATCCCAAAAAGCTGATTCTGTTCATCTGGACGTCTTTTGGTGGGAGAGACATTTCGTCTCATCCAGGTGACTTCTTCAGTCTCAGCTGACTGCAGGTTTCCTTAATCTTATATTTGCATAATGACTGAAACTAGCAGCACTATGTCCAAAAGAACATAATCAACTGTTTGGGACTCGGCTGTTTGTTAGAGTATAACTTTAGTCTAAGGTAAAAAGGATTCCAATAGGAAGAGTCTGTCTGGTTGTAGCATTAGTTGTCCACAATAATGCAGCACCACGTGCTGGGGTGGATTATAGTCTTTGAGCTTCACCTACGTTAAAGAGATGAGTTCACTGTAGCAGAGGCCGACTGACAGGCACAAACATCTCCTTCACAGGGGATGACGGGTTATAGTTCCTGTAGCTGGGGGTAAGAATAGAAAGTTGAGAGTATGCGTGCCCGTGTGGTTGTGGCTCCTACAGTATCACTAGCCTAACAGGCTGTCCCATAAGAGGGACAAAACGTATACAACCACACCCAGCAGCTGTTCCCTTTTCTCTCCCTGGAGTTAAGAAATTCACGTCTCAATAAAATGTAAAATGAGTTCTTCAACAAGAATTCTTTGGCATCACTTTGGTTTTAGAGTTGTCCGGTTCCTCGACGCCTCGTCTGTGGCAACAAAAGCTAATGAAGCCACATGACATAAATATTAAACACATGTTAAAGCAAAGCAACAGAAACAGCAGTCGTTTAAGATCTCAGTGACTGGTTCCAGCCTGTATTAAATAAAGACAGTGAGCTTTAAAACTCTGTTGTTGATTTAAGATTTTCCGGCTTCTAAAGCAGGAAAAGCTGATGACTTTAAAGCATCAAATTAGGACCCAGCTTGGCACTGACTGCTTGCTTTTTTGGAACATCCAGTGGAAGCATTGCTGCCAGGGAGGAGGTGACAGCTGGCACAAAGGAGAGAATGAGGCGACCGACAAAGTGAGGAAGCAAGTGAAGAGAGAGCAAATAACACTGAAAGAGTCTCCGCTGTAGTCAAAGTGGGTGAAAAAAGGAGAGTAAATCTTCTTAGGAGCATCAGATGCTGCCGCCCTCCCCGCCCCACCCGCCTGTCCTCGATACGGGCCGAGCCGCTGAAGTTAGCGTCAGTTCAGCACTCTCTTCATTCATTCATTCATTCATAATCTGTCCTGAAATGCACATGAATGGAGGTCAGCAGAGTTACAGCTCATCGAGGCAAACTGGACTAGTGAAAGTGAGATAATGCACGTTCATTCAGTTTGCTGACTCCGTGCTCGGAGTACGTTTCTTTCTCCGTGATCTAAACGCACCTGATGGCAAAACTTTCATCCATCTGTTGGTTTCCAGGTGAGAGATGTGGCATTATTCTTTGAAATGACTGATGATAAGAGGGTAATAATGATAAGACTGTTATTTAAATATCATAGACAGTAAGGAGCTGAAAGGACAGGTGTTGATTATTATTGAACTTTTCTTGTATCGTTTTAGATGCAGGACAAAAACATTCACTTTAACCTGAAAGTTATCGGCGCACATATATAACCACACTGAGACACGTTACATGGTGAAGGCACCGCCATACAAAAGACATTGTGAATCCTCCGTTTGGCGATTGAAATTCTTTGGTCACTTAAAAATGAGTTACTGATGATGTTAAACACGATGCTCTCATTAAGCAGCTTTGTCACCAACCCCTGCTCTCTATTAGCAACACTGTTGGAAAAGCTTAAGGATACAGGTTTCCCCTGTGGGGTGGGGGGTGAAACACTGACAGTGGGGTCAGACTCAGGGTTTCCCCTTCAGTCACAGCCAATAGGCTCCAAGCACATATATGCAAAAAAATATTATCAACACAGTAAATATTTCAAATAAATAGTTGCATAAATAGATGATATGAAAAAGAACATGCGGCTGGCATGAAACATCAAAACACACACCGAGCGCCGTCTTTGATTAAAATAATTAATACTCATGTCAGAAGGCTTAAACAGACCTCTGAGCCACATGTGATCAGGATCAATGAGCACTCGCTCTGAACTCTGAGAAGGAAAACAGGATAAAAATAAAGTTCTAAGCTGAACCTTTGTGATCTCCAGGATTTCACTGGCTTGTTTATGGTCCCGTCTTCAGCACTGTGGAGATTTTCAGAAACCTGCTGAGCTGAGACATGGGCTTTATTCAGACAGCAGGCAAATCAGATTTGTTTCTCAAATAGGACCTTTAGGACTGCGCTGTTATTTGCAAGTGATCAGATGGGATTTGTGTGCCCAGACATCACCAGACCATCTGTAAGAGTTGCTGCAGCAACAGCGCAGGCGTCACTGAATACATCGCTACCATTTGTCTTCTAGCTCCCTACACGCCCCCTCCCAAAGAGCCAGCAGGCAGTTCTCTCATCATCTAATCTCATCTGGATACAATGTGGGTTTGTGGAAAAGGGAGTAAAAAATGAGCTGGAAGTAAATTTGCAGCAGGTTGTAAAAAGGATTAAAGCATCCAAACAGGCACCGGGGAGAGCTGTTTGGACCACCTGTGGCGCTACGGAGCAATACAACGTGTATGTGGTGACAGAGTATGACAGAGGTTATAGAGACGAGCGTATGAAGAGATGCAACAATGCAAAGAATGTAAACATGGCTGCTTCTTCATGGGTGTCAAAAACCCCTGGAAGTCACTGACACGAATGAAGCACGAGGGTGAGGAAATATTATCAAAAGCCTCTGTGATTGTCGTGTTGAGACTTTATGACAATGCTGGACCAAAATTAGGATTCGGCCAATCAGTCTTCAAAAACTGAGAACTCATAGATGACATTTAAGAGCTCCGTGTTTGTTTCTTTGCACTGTTCAGGGTTCAGGAAACAGTTCAACCGAGTAACAAGAGCACAGACGGCACATTTACTGAGAAACATTTCAAATAATATAGAGAAGCCTGTTACATTTTTATTCCTCATACCGTATCCTTCATCAGGAAACAAATCCTTCATACTGATGTCACTTAATGACTGCCTGACAACAAAATGTTGGCGAGGACCATCGATCAGCTCCTAAAATCTACGGCAGCATTTCTGATTTCATCTGTTTATGTCCCTCACTGACCGACACTTTGCAGCCTCCGGCCGCTGCTTTTGCATTTCATCGCTGCGACATCACAGAATGATGTCATAGAGTCTGCCGACCCGGCCCAGCCATTCGCGCAGGGCCTGGCGAACGCGGGCGTCGGTCACGTGGCAGGAGAGCTGGCTGAGGCAGGGGTAGAGTGCCGGCTGGAGCGCCAGGAATGAGGAGTCAGACAGTAGGAGGACCTGGTTCAGGAGGGTCAGGACCATGTTGGTCCAGGCCTGCAGAGGGAGGAACACAGACATCAGTTCACAAGCAGATGCAGACCTCACTTTTACCCAACTTTCCTTATACGAGAGGGTTTAAACAAGGGACCTTCAAACTTGTGGGGACAAGGATTTTGGTCCACATGAGGCTGTTGGTCCCCACAAAGATATGAATACACACCCGCACACACACACACACACTCGCCTGTATCTGAGCCTCAGAGTCTCTCAGCGAGATGCTGTGGGAGCTGATGGTGGACCCCGACCGCGGCCTTTTCTCCTGCCTCAGCACCTCCGGCCCCGCACTAACCGAGTGCCTCAGAGAGGGCCCCTGCTGGTCCACCAGCTGCTGAGGCCTCTGCGGGGGCCTCTGCGGCTCTACTGGGCCCCTCCTCTCCCCGATGCCGCCTCCTCCTGCCGCCGCCCGGCCCTGCTCTTTCATGAACAGGTTGACGTGGCTTTGCTGCGGCTGCTGCTGCTGATGTTTCCTGCGTTTATACTCCATCATCAGCTTGCTGATCGTTCTGTCCGTGGCAATGGTGTATAGCTTGTTTCCAGCACTTTCCCACCATTCCTTTCTCCTTCCCGGGCCAGCGCTGCCAGGAATCCCTCCAACCGAGCTGCTTGTTATGTTGGAGTCCCTCCGTTCGCATCCAGTCCGGAACTGACTGGACAGACTGCCTGTGCAGCTGTGGGGAGAGGAGAGCGGCAGCTTTTATATGACGGTTGACTAAACAGCCTTCACAAAGCACACATTAATATGCGTGATCTCCAACCTGAATCCTGGACTTGGCGTCGGTGTGTCCCCCGGTGACGCTGAGCTCACGTCTGTCGTCTGACACCTGTACCCGCCTTCCTCTGAGGGCGTCTCCCTCGCTGAAAGCCCGCCTGCTGAGGTCGGGGTCGAAGTCTCGGACTGGAAGAGAGGCAGGAAGAACACATGGTCTCCTCCTGCACTTCCCCTCAGCAGAGCAGTCTCCTCCAGCATGCTCTCCAGGTCGCGGTGCATCTGAATGTAGCTGTTGCACAGATCCACGCACAGCTTGTAGAGCCGCTTGACCAGCCAAGCCCAGTCGGCGCTGCCCACCGGCTGCACGCTGAGTGAAGGGACTGGAGCTCGCCACGGGTGACGCTTATCCCGGCCGCGAGGGGGGCTGACCTGCCAGATAAGACACAAATATTACGAGGAGGGTCAAAAGTTTAGAAAAGCCTCAGAGGATTGAAGAGAAAAAATGAATAATGGATGAAAAGAGCAGCAGCACGACTAATCCAAGGCCGCTGCTTTAATTCTAGATTGAGGTCACCTGTCAGCCCCTCTGAGTGGCCTCTCATCACATTTGAGTGTTTCACAATTCTTTACAGTAACGCTGCCAATCAGAAGCTGTGTGTATGTGTGTGTGTGTACCTGTTTACACATCTTTGTGGGGACCAACAGTCACCTGTGAGGACAAAAGTGTCCCCACGAGTTTGAAGGCATTTTTGAGACTCAAGATGTGATTTTAGCGTCAGGGTTACAGTTGGGTTATCGTTAGGTTTAGGCTCAGGGTTAGGCATTCATTTTTGATGGTTAGGGAAAGCATTATGTCAATTAGATGTCCCCACAAGATATGAATACCCAACATGTGTGTGTGCATGTGTGCATGTGTTACCTGTGCGGTTTCTTCAAATATGTCTTCATCCTCCGAGGAGGCGGAACCAGGATGAGAGGAGTCTGAGCTCCCCTCCTCTTCCTCGTACAGGATCCTCTTTACCTGAACACGGCGACAGGTTCAGATGTCAAACAGATAACTAGTGACGAGCTCGTCTGTTAGCGGTGACGACGGTTATCACCAGTGATTCTGTGTCTGCTGAGAGGTTAATATGACTGCTGTGTCTGGTTGGTAAAATATGCATTAGAATAAAAAATAATAAATGAAATGAAAATGTTATTTTTGTGAACATCGTTCCTCCAGACATATCAAATACCTGCTCCGCGCTTCTTTCATTCGACCTACCAAATACACAAAAGTGCATTTTAAATCTGGAGCTGTGCATTTAAATAATCCCAGCAAAAGAAAATCATAGAAATCAAGAAACATTGTATATGTGAAGATGTTTTCCTGCACAGTGAAAAATCGTTTCATGAACATTCGTCCAAGACATGTTTGAAAAAAGTTCCAAAATAAAAGCTGGGCAGGCGTCCAGCTCACTGCCTGCTCAGCTCCGTTCCTCCCATGCAGCGCGCCATGACACCGATTTTAAATTCAGCTCTACATCAGTGGTTTAAATGTTATTTACAGGTCATGGTTACAAAATGTGTTTATGAAATGACTGTCAGCGAATCAAAAACAACTTGTGCATTTGGCTCCTTTAGAAGTGATATGATCAACAGGGCGGCCTGGCTGGTGTTGGTCGTTTTGCTGGGCGTGCGTCTGAACCTTCTGGTCCAACTTTTCACCAGTTACCTTCTAACTGTGTGCGTTTGGTGCTAAGCAGCAGCACGAGGTGGGATAATGAAAAACAGTTTCCAGCAGTGAGAGTGAACTGGAACAGTGAACTGAGCTGTGAAACGATAAGCTCAAATAAGTGATAAGGCTTTGTAGAGCTGAGTGGAAGTGACCACTCGGGTGATAACTCTCTGTGGCTTTTACCATAACAAAATTTTGTCCCAAATCATCTGAACGCATTAGCGATGCTCTAGAAGTGACAGCAGGTCCCTGTGAAACTATAAAAGAGCTGCAGTGTGGTTGCTAATTGTTGGCTACTTCTAAGCTACAAAAGCCTGGAACAATGTTTGTGCCCCTCAGTGTGTGGATCTGGATGCGCTGTATTAGCAGCGTGACAAAAACATACAAGAACATTATTAACTTGACTGGTTTCCACCTGCTGTGCAGTCATGCTGTCTGCCTGGCTCAGTATGGCACACAGCAGGGCCTGGAAGTACAGGCTGAAGCTCATGGCTGACTGGCGGTAAAGATTGGCTGCTCCACAAACACCCGACACCTTCATCAGCAGGTACTTCAGACCCGGCCGAGTGTCAAAGTCCCGCGCCGTCCTGCACACAACAGATTTTTCAGCTGCATTTGAAGCTGATTGACATTATTATAAAAAGCATGAATATAAAATAACTTGTTTTGTTTCTATGTTTGGAAACGAGCAGGATTCAGTATCAACACTACACTGCCATCTGCATATGTGACATGTTTTGCTGCAGTAACCTGTACGAGTCCAGCAGCAGATCCAGAATTATGGCTAAATTCGTCATAGAGATGTAGCGCAGGAAGCCTGCCGTGGGTTTACTGGGGTCAGAGGTCACAGGTGTGACCCTTTCGTGACCTTCAGGCTGCTTTACAAACTCTTCCAGCAGGATGTCAGAGAGGTTTTGGAGCAGAACCTGGTGGGACAGCAGGCTCACCACGATGGTCCTGAATGGGATCCTGCACATCAGTCGAATCACATACATTCAGTTACTTATTTAAAAAAGAATCCTTCATAATAAAGAAAGATTTCACTGAACACATTGATGCATTTCCAGTCATGGTTCATTTATCTGTTGTAGCATCACTGTAATGTTAAACAAATGAATAAAGAGGATAAAGGATAAAGATGCAGGTGCAACATGTAAATGACAGAGCTGCACAATATGGCTGCGGTGTAACGTGAAGAAGTGCAAATGTACAAGGAGAGCTTCTTCTTCTTAAACTTGTATCGTTGATGCAGCTGCAAGCGAGAAGCTGACTGAGTGCAGATGGTTGAGTGCTGCATTAATTACAACTTTATTTTTGGTTTACATCTAATCAGCCACTGCATACTTGTCTGTGCATCGTGCAGCTCATTTAAGATTAACACTGGCGATCATGCTGTCCATGCCTCGTGTGGGCATTTGTCACACTTTTAAATGGTTGTTGATGAACACACAGAGAACAGCCTTACCCAATTTTCCTTTAACACAGCAGCAGAAAGACAAGCGCAAAGAGTTAGTGGACTTCAGAGAGCACATTTCCCCCACAGTCACTGACAGAGCACACATAAGAGGACAGACCACAGAAGGAGGCACATTTAAACCTAAATCTAACTGAAAACACGCAGCACCTTCAGAGCCTCGTTAAGAAATGTAAACCAATCAGACGAGTAATAAACCACCCATGTGATCACAGCTTTGATGTGCACCTCTTCTGAGCGTGTCCATTGGACTGCTGGTCAGACGGCAGCTCGATGATGAGGACGCAGGACTGAGCGTGCTCAAAGCCTTCCTTGTTGTTGGGTGTCTTAGGGGAGCACTGAGTGTCCAACATAAAGACCTGGGATAGAAACGGGACATGCGGACAAGCTCAGGTCAGACAGTTAAAACCACAGGACAGGCTTAAAGAAAGATTACCCATACACGTGTGTTTATATTCATTTACCACGATGGATCTCTGTAAGTATTAAGTGATAAAATACAAGTTTATGTACAACTTCAACTTCAGGATCTGACATTTCAAACTCCAGGATGATGGGAGATTTTTTTCCTGTCTAGACTCTCGATTGGAGGTCGAAGCCACAGCGAAGCCACGTGAAGTGACACTGACCTGCTGGGCCATAGCTTTGATCCTCCAGTACTCGGCCTCGGCTGACGGTGAATGAGAAGGAGCCGCCACCTTCACCTCGCAGGCGTCTCCAGAAAAGCTGTCCGAGCCGCTGTGAAAACACGCCAGAAGGTTCTGCAGAGAGAAAACAGGGAAGACTGGTGTGGGTTAAATGGGAAACACAGACTTTTGCGATCTAAAAGCTGTCACGCTGAAGGAACCTCTGGCTCCTTGGAAGTGAAATCTGCTGAATCAGGTTTGAAACCAGAAGAAGATCCGTCAGAAAATTCATTCTTCCACTGGAATACTGTGGAAGAGACTACAGCACATTATTCCTGAAACTCTGGCTGAATGAGGATGAACCTTTCAGTCTGTGTGTTTAATCAAGGAGCACAGCTTCTATTGTTTATAGGAAATATCATACTGTTTCCTTCATACACCAGTCGGGTTTTGTGTTATATGGTATATTTCAGGTGACAGTCGGTCTCTCAATAACATGTATGGCCAGCGTTTATTACATTACATCAGCTGTGACCTGAATGCTTTTTAACAAAAGCAGCTTTTCCTAAAAGCCAGTCAAAGGCCACGTGTTCATATGTCTGAGAGCATAAGCTACACATTAAGGACCGATGTCTACATAGCATAAGCTGCATGTTACCAACTGTCCTACAGACATAATATGATTCTATGCATTTTTCAGGATTTCATTTACAGTCACATATGATTTAAATGTCTGGAATTTCTCTGCTCTTCCTTCAATATTTCTGTAAGATGGGACGGAAATGAAAGAAGTTTTAACTGAGGTTAGAAATAACGTTGAGAGGCAAAGTGCGTATTTTACAAAGACGTGGAGCCCTCTGCTTGTTTCAGAGCTAATGATTAGTATGAATCTGAGCCAACGAGATCAGCTGCACTGGTTTTCAGTGTGCTGTTATACGTGTGATATCATGTAAAAATTGTCATTTTTTTTACACTGGATTTCAAGTCAAATAGATAAATATGATTGAACTGACAGGTTCACATTTTATTCAAGGGCTTAAACAAACGTATTGCATCAGGAATTATAGACACCGAAGTATTTCAGGAGGTCACAGCTCCATATGTGACATTAGCAACATGCTTTAAGATGCCTCTGCTTCAGCAAATATTGTTATATAAAGGGCTATTAGACCTAAATACACAAAGCGCATTGCTCAGCATGATAATGTTAAACCCCCTCACAAAGAGTCAATCAGATCTGTTTCTATCCATCCTCTCATTTTCGACTGTTGAGACCTCGCTCTCCCAGCCCAGTTGGACCATTTTTATTTTACTATCTTGTATTTTCTAGAAAACTACTTCCTCTTACAGCTGCTCCCTTTAAGCGCCACCACAGCAGATCTCTGCCTCCATCTCCCCCTCCAGCATCCTCCTCTGTTACACCAACCCTCTGCATGTCCTCCGTCACTGCATCCCTGAATCTTCCCTCATGACTTTTTCTTTTCCTCCTGTTTGGCACATTCAACAACCTTTGTCCAGTATATCCACTCCACACCATCTCAGCCTGACTAACACACACACACACACACACACACACACACACACACACACTCACACACACACACACACACACACACACACACACACGTCAGGTATTCATATCTTTCGGGGACATCTAAATGACATAATGCTTTCCTTAGCCCCTTACCCTAACCTAACCACGACCTAACTGTAACCCTGTCACTAAAAACACATTTTGAGTCTCATAAATGCCTGTAAAACTTTTGGGGACCAGGATTTTGGTCCCCATAAATATAGTAAATTTCCATTTTTAGTATCCACAAAGATATGAATACAGGCTCGCACGCACACACAGACAGATGTGGCTCTAATCTTTAAAGCTGCTTAGCAGATGTCAGGCAGGCAGCTGGCTCAGAACTGCAGGAACACGACATCCAATAACAAAGTGCTCGTCCATGTCACCTCTGCCGAACACTCACGCACACTCGGGGTTAGCGGCGGTTCCCTTGGTAAGTGAAAGGGACCAGCAGGAGTCGGCTCCCCGCTGAGGCTCTAAATCTGCAGGCTCACACATGCACTCAGCAGGTACTGAGCCATCGTCAACAAATTAACACAAATTTTTCATTAAAGCTGAGCGGGCTGGCAGGTTGTCTCAAACAGACCACTGCATGTTCTGGTAGAACATTTAACGAGCGAAAGGAGGAAACTGATTGTGAGACAAACATCGAGCTCGCTTTCAGCTTTCAGTCGATTCTTCTTCTGTTTAGCTTTGCGCACTGGCTATTTTTGGAGAGATGACGTAGACTACACAGACCAAACAGGACTGCTATGACTCAAGGAGCGCCTACTGAGCAGGTGAAAGAAGCCATATCGTTCCAACAAAGGGAACTCGTATCAATAATAGAAGCTAGAACGAGCAGAGACATGTTGCATTATTAGAAAGTGAAACAGAGAAGACTGTTAAAAAGGAACCATTATTCTCTGTCATATTTCTACGTGATATTTAAACGTTTCAAATAATAAGATCAGTGCAGGTACGAGTAATCACTGAAAGCAAAAACCTCAGGTTTAGACTGGTCCAAACACCCAGTCTCACACTCAGCTCGATGTGTAAAGAAGCACAGAAATCACTAATGTGGTGAGCTCAGGTCCAAAGCTGTGGCTCTGAGAGCAGCAGCCTCACTCACCCGCAGGAGAAAGACGACTTAAAGGTAAGAGGAAGGAAGCTAAATCAGCTGATTTCAGACAGAAGATGAACCAAGGGGCTGCACCGCGCCCCAGCATGAGATCGATAAGGATTAGGTTTCGTTCGCAGAAGTCAACGCTTAAAAAAAGGATTTATATTGCACATAAAAGCCACACTGTACTTAATTCTAATTATAAGTAAAATTAGTCTTAAAAATAAAATAAAAGAACATTTAGAAAGAAATCAGTTCTGACTATATTCATCCATGAAAGCTGGGAACGTTTGTGGTTTGAATGGTGCCTCATTGTGCAGTACTGATAAAGAAGAACAGCTACAAGTGACGGATCCAAATAAAACACTACATTTGAGGTAATTCAGACAAAAGAGCTGCAGAATCCAAAAAACAGATAATATCTAACTGAACCTCTCAGTCAAGGATGGTTGACACCAAAAAGGAAAGGAGAGCAGTTTCCTTCCTGCTGCGAGGAGACAAAGAGTGATCGCTCACAGCTGCAGGACTGTGATGGCGAGTATATAATGCACACCGCAGGTTAAATGGGGTTATTGGAATCCCAGCACTGTGATGGTATTAACTGCTTTCAGATTACTTCTGTCTGGACAAGCGGCTTCAAACTGGGGATGGATTATGTGGTTTACTGCAGCGGGCTGTCCAGGTCACTTGTATCCAGGTGCTGTACCACCTGACATCTGCATTTCATCACGTACCTTGACCGGCTCTAACGTGGCAGAGAACGCGTCCTGCAGAGCGCAGCAGGCCAACCTCCACATTTCTTCTGTGAACACTGGACCCACTGTGACCAACACGTACCTGGAGAGAGACGCAGAACAACCGTGGACTGATCACACAGAAAATAAACTAAGCTATATCTTTTAATACCTTTTAAATCAATTTCTAAAGTGCTACAAAACACACCTGACATTGTTTGATTTGACAATTCTGTTGCTGCGAATAAACCGCTCGAGTAGCAAAACTAACAAAGTCTTAGTGTCTAATGCAGTCCTTGAAAGTTTGCAAACCTTTTATGTTTGTTTCTGCGTAATCAAGACGTAAAACGAGAGAGACTCACACAAGTCCAAATGTGTGAGTCTGTAAAAACGTCATATTTGTGATTAGTATGGAAACCTCGAGGATTTGAGTAAATGTTTAATTTTCATTTCATTTCATTTTTATTTATTTCACACTTGGTACTACAAACAAAACAACCACATCTTCTATCAACAAAACACAACAACCATTTGAGTAAATGTGAAGATAAAAGTAGAGTAAGTCGGCTCGAGCACTGACAGATGAAAAACAATAATGATGAGAAGAAAAGAGCCACTATCGATTTCCTCACACAACCTTGGAAAGCGTACAAAACTGTGTGTGAGTCTGTATCAGTGATGTAAAGCAGTTGTCTCGTGTATGGCAGGTGTTGCATGTGCAAAAGTGCCCTAACAAAACAAAACAAACAGGGTGGCATGCCCCAGAGACGGTGTAGACGTCGTCACAGGAGTAGAGGCAGGATTTAAAAAACACTGGCCTGCTGCATTATTGTGCAAAATTTGCAAAGAAACAGCGTGTGCTTCAAAATAAACGATTTCCAACAGTGAAATTTAAGTTCTAAGCCTCCCAGAAACGACACAGAAAGGCATAAAGTCAAACACGACTTTGAAAAACACCAGGAAACCTTTGAAAGGCCCTGATAGAAACTACATCTCCCACAAAAAAGGCGTCACTTCCAGTTTTCAATGGTAATTGCGGACATGCGATAATCCGCAGAGCCATATGTGGAAGGAAACCACGAGCTGGGACAAGCTGAATGCATGTGATGCAAGTACAACTCATCTGGTTCCAAATGCAATATAATGATTGCGCTAGCTTATGTGGTTGCAGTTCTACCAGGATTTAAAAATAGTTCCACGAATCGTCCACCTTTCTTCTAGCTGCACCTCATTTTTAGAAACGTCATCCTTGTTTAGGACGAGCGTCCACCACTGAAGCGCTCACTCAGCCAACAATCCACCCAAAACAGAGAAAGACAACCTGAATTGAAAAGAGGTTTCACACTTGATTTCACTGTGGCGACAGGTGTGTAACTGCCAGATGTGTGGTCACCTGATGCAGGAACAGCCCACTCTGGAGATGGTCTCTGCAGGTTCAGACACGCAAGCCACCAGCAGCTTGAAGAGGTCCTTCAGCATCTGGTTGATCAGTGACTCGTAACCAATATCTGCAGGAAGTGACGGCAGAAACACACACACGTGCACACACACACACAAACACCACAACAGAGCCTGTGAGCACACAGGGTGGGGGTGCAGTTTAATCTGACTAAAGAGGAGGACAGTGGAACAACACGGTATCACTTCTGCTCCATTTCACTTCAGAGAACAAGCACATTATACGCCAGAGAAACAATAACAGTCCATCAGATCTGTGACAGCGCACCTGACTGTGCTAATGCACCACGGGTCAAATCTTTCAGTGAATATTTACATGAAAGCTTAGAAATGCAAAGTTCCCAGCATGCTTTGCTCTTAACTTGAAGACGATTAAAGAAGACGAAACGCGCGAGGTCACAGAGGGAAACGCACACCACCAACCTGAGTGTATGAAACTGTTGACGTGCTCCACCACCAGCTCGCAGGATAGGCCGATTGCGTGTTTGAAATTCGCTGCCGCCACATCCCAATAAGAGTGGTCACCGTGGCTACGCTGCAGCCACAGTGACATCACAGGAAGCAGCAGCTGGATGACAGCGAAGATGCCAAACCCTGGACCTGGAGAGGTGAGATCAGGTTACATCCCGGCTGTTTGTAGGTTTTGTCTTCTTCTTCTTTGGATTGTGTTTAAGTTTATCACCTGGCACTGCGGTGACTTCTCTGAGCAAAGTGAAGAGCAGCTCCAGCGTTGGAGGCTGGTGCTGTCGAGGGCAGTTTGACACGGCTGCAGTGAGCTGCTCCAGTAACAAAATCCACACCTGGATCAGGCCTGCAGGACATGAGACAACAAAAATGCGCTGACGAGAGAGAAAGGAGGAGGATTCTTAGACAAAGACCGTGAAGCACAGAGAGGAGCAAAGTGAAACCTGTGTCGTCATCGAACTCCTGGAGGACACAGTCCATGCCGTCCTCGCTGCTGATCGAGCGTTCCTGCGATCTCATCGGCAGGCTGGCGAGCCGCGCACCCAGGAACACCGGCTTAGACGGCATCTTGTAAATCTTTGCCAGCAGCTGTCAATCAAATGCAAAACACGGTTTCTTTTTTATAATAGCGAAAAATCTTAAAAATATGCTCTCACTTTATATCTGTGGAGCTTCCACCTGCGAGCATTTGCGGAGGTAGTCGAGAGCAGGCAGGCAGAGGTCTGTGGAGCTGTAACCTGACGCGTGAACGCAGTCGCCAATCTCTTTGTAGTCCACCTCTCCTGCACGGAAAAGCATAAAAGTTCTCCGGAGTTTGAAAGGTCAGCTTTAAAAAACACTTGGATGACACTGTAGTTGTTTCGAGTCATTCAGAGAGAACGTGTCTCTGAGAAACACAGGATCGCTTTTTCTGCGGTGCTGTTTTCTTGTTTTTGTCACTGACTCGCTGCTCGCCTCCCACTCACTGTCATCAGCACCGTGTTTGCTCCTTTCTCCTTCTGTGAGGTTTTAAAGCTTTTGATGGTGACGATTTTTCTAAAAACCATGAAGTACCTTTCTTTCTAAAAGAAAAATTGCTTCCCAGTCATTGTTTAGGAATTATGAATAACTGGGATTTTAAAAACAAAAAAGTAGCTTTTGTGTCTTGTGTGTCCTCTTGGTGCTTTTTTGTAAAACATTTTAATGATGTACAGGAACATATTTATGCACGAGTACTTCCCGTGCATTTGTGCATTTGGCCTTTTTTGATAAATAAAAGAAATAATAATAGCACATATCAACATAAATTCTCAAATCTTAAATGTCTGCAGAAAACTGAAGCACTCAGCATCTGCAGATGCATAAATCCGCTCTCCTGATGTATTAAACTGTGACATAAATACCAAATGTACTTGCATGTTATGAGCTTCTAATAAAGAGATAAATACATAGCCTGATCCCGGGAAAAGTAAAATCCCAAAAGGCTTGAAAAGTAATATCTTGAAATGAAAAATAGCACGCACACATTAGTGAGACAAACCTAATCCTTTGACAAACTTCATGAGACACATGATGTAGTCTGTGGCAGCGTTGGCAAAAACTTGGATGTTGTCTGTGTTTATGAACGCCTCAAAGACGTCGAACACCGGCGCCTGAGACTTCCCTGCAGGAAGACAATAAGACGAGAGCAGGAAACTCAGATTTACAGTAAAAATCTTTCTGCTGATAAACTTTGGAAAAAAGTTTGTTAGACATACCCATGGAGTATTCTCCCAGCAGGTAGTCTTTGGTGTCAGTCTTGCTACCGTGCACTGTCCTGAGGGCGCTGAACAGAGGCCTCCACCCTGACAGGATCTGAGGAGAGCACATCTCCACCAGCTCTCCAATCGATGTTATTACCTGCAGGGAGACAAACCCGAGAAAAACTGTTTGGCAAACTGAACGCACAGCCCGGAACAACGCTGGCTGATTTGGTTGTTTTGAGGAACTGAGATCCGACTCCACCTGGTCCTGAACGTCCTCGTCGCAGAGCTCCAGCTGCATGATGTGCTCGAAAGGCCTGAACAGTGCCTCGTTAAAGTGGAAGTGTGGAAGCTCCGCCCAGCTCGTCAGCACCTCTGTGAGAACATCGTGGATAAAGGAAACGGCCTTCTGGGATACGTGGCGCTCTTTGTGACACGCAGCCTGTGATGACGACAAAAACTTTGTGTTTAAAGAGCCTCAGATCAAAGCTTTTATTCTCTCTGTGCCTGAAGTGTACCGAGCTAAAAAAAAAAAGGAAAACCACTGTGCGAGACAGAAGGTGGTCTACACAGATGTTACACAACTTCATTTCAGAGCCGCTACAATCCAAAGAAGATTCATTTCTGTGTGCAGTCACAGTTTTGTGGGAGCCCTTCACTCTTCCATGTGCAGACATAGAAAGTATAACAGCAGCAGTAAGACACAGCACGGAACAAGCAGACATTAGTGATAACAGATTTGACACTGATCAGGTTAGAGACACCTTTAAACAGGGGTCTTGAACTCCAGGCCTCGAGGGCCGGTGTCTTGCAGGTTTTAGATGTGTCCTTGATCCAACACAGCTGATTTAAATGGCTAAATGACCTCCTCAACATGTCTTGAGTTCTCCAGAGGCCTGGTAATGAACTAATCATTTGATTCAGGTGTGTTGACCCAGGATGAGATCTAAAACCTGCAGGACACCGGCTTTTAAGGCCTGGAGTTCAAGACCCCTGTCTTAAAAGGAGGAGCTGGGCTGGAGGTGGGTTGCAAAGTGGCTTGGAGATACACAGGCAGGCATGTAGGCAGCCTGAGGTGCAGTGAGATAGTTGACCCAAACTCAGAAGACTGAGACCTGCCTGAACTACTGCGATGCTGCTGCTGTGAAGTAAATCTCCATAAAAGGAGAAGATTGATTAACCCGTATTTCACATGTGGCAGAATGGATAAACTGTTGGCTTTGTTTGTCTTTTAAACACGTTGACTTTGTCTGTAGTTCCAACTCGTGTGAGAGCAGCAATTAGAACTTCTGTAGTTACACAACTGCGCAACTGAGAGGTTGAGAAGTTAACAGAAGGAGAGAAATAAAACACTGTTTACAAGGTGGTAATATCCTACCTCCACCAGATGAGGCGCCACCACGCTCCAGGCCCTCATCATGTGGAGAAGGGGTCGGTTCTTATTCCGGACGATTCGCAGCATGGCCTCACCCAGACGAAAGAGATGGAGGGCGCTGCGCCGGTCCAACGTTGACTTGGCTTCTCCTACAGACACGCAGAGGACACAAAAAAGGCCTCGGAGCTTTACTCCTGTCTGTACTTCTTCTTTAATTAACCACACGAGGGAAACTAATTAAGAAAGAGAAGAAGGTATGCCCAGCATGGTTCACAATTATGCAGACCCTTGGGTCAGTGGCCAAGGCCTGAGATCGAGAAGGGCACAGGGAGGGACCGAGGATGTTTAAAGGATCATTTGTGAAAACTTTAAATTTGTGACAAATAATCGAGCCACAGATACAACACAAAACACAAAACTGTAAAAGCTGAACATCCCTCTCAGACATTCAGTAGAGAAATATGTTTTAAATACAAATTTAATTTCCGATCTAGAAAAAAACAAATGTGATTGTCAAGAATAACACGACTCCTGTTTCTGCACACGTCTTTTTGGCTTGTTGTGCATTTTGTGTTTCACGACCAATTTTGAGTTTTTTCCTGACTTTTTGACGTCTTCTGTCTCCCCGTGTGTTTCCCACTTTGTTTGCACACAGCTGACTGGGAACAACTGAATCCCCTGCCTGTATGAGTCTCTTCATTGTTCGAGCTGACGGCTGTCTGTGCTTCCTCTCACAGCTGCAGCAGCTTGTATGAACTGCAGACCACACTGCATGTTTGCTCTAGAAATGCAAATTCTATGGGGGGTTTTTTGGATAATTTTCTTTTGTGTGTCTGAAAAAAGTGTGTCAATAATTAAATAAATGTAACAGAATTTGTTTTAGGTGTGTTTAATAAAAGCAGAAAATGTAGCCATTAAATAAAAATGGATGTCTGTGGTTTATTTGTGTTGAAGTGAAGCCAAAATCTTTGTGAAGAGAAGCCATTTTTTAACTTGGCCAATTTCACCTGCTATTAAAGCAAACACAGTTTCGACTGTTTAACGTGTTTCACTGGGTCACTCATCTGCACCTCTGCATTCACGCTCCTGGTGCCTTCTGAAAGATTTCTGAATGCAAATATCTGACAAAGAATAATTGCTCTCACACAGCCCATCCAAAAAACTCCAGTTTGATGATTAAAATGTAATAATGATTTTTTTAAATCTGTTACTTTTATTAGTGAGCAGGTATTTGTGTCTGTGTGATGCACCTGTACACTTTATGGATGCAGCTTGCTAACCAATCTAATGGAATTATTGGCTGATAGCTTAGCATCCCAGCCTTTTATCCAGATACTACGTGATGGCAGCTCGTCACGTTTCAGAACGTAGAGCCCAAAACCAATTGGTGGCATCTCCTTGAGTATGTCCAACTTTTTTATACAGTCTATGGTCAGCCCATGCATGGAGTGAGGGGTGGGGTGGGGGCTTTTGCCCAGAGTGCTCACATGCATTTACTGAAGCATTATGTGTGTGTGTGTGTGTGTGTGTGTGTGTGTGTGTGTGTGTGTGTGTGTGTGTGTGTGTGTGTGTGTGTGTTTTGATGTCAGAGTAAAGTCAGCCAGTCAATATAATGTGCACTGAATGAATGCAAAGTGTGTACCTGGCATTGCCAGTGAATAGTCTCCAGTCTCGGTGGGAGAGTCAAACAGCTGAGACTGAGAAGCTTTTCTGAGCTGCTGCAGGAAACCAACCAGACCAACCAGGTTTAGTTTGGTGGCCCCTTCTTCAAATAACCTGAAACACACAGAAAGCATTTCATACACTCACATGAACGTCTACAGTGCAAAGGTAAAGCAACGCTGCCATGCAAGTTTACATCCTACACTGAAATACTTGCAAAGCCTCCCTGTTCACTGCCCTCTAAGCACATATAGGCCAGCCCTGTGCAGCAGTATTTACTATGGTTGTCGCCACTTTGAGCTTGTAAATGTGTTCAGTCCATCTGTTCCAAAAGATCAGGGGGAATTTTTTTTTAATATACGATCCTAAAAGCAGCCCAGATAACTGGTTATGTAAGAGATGATCCTTGGAATGAACACGCAAACAAGTCCACAGTTACTGCGGCCGTGTGCGAGCCGTAACAAGTGGCACGCGCACATATGCATACATGTTTGTACATGTGTGAGGACATCAGTCTCACTCTAATCCTGAGTGTCGGTCCAGTAACAACAAGCACAAAACAATGTTCTCACTTTTACATTTAGGGTCCAAATACCAAATGACTCATCAAAGAAAGTGTGTCATAGCGCACACACACACACACACACACACACACACACACACACACACACACA